TTATGTTGCAACAATTGAAGGTACATCGTATTTCAGTACCTTGCGTGTGAGAGCTATTGGCATACATCAAGTGCAGCATGCAGAATGTTTGTAGGCAACTAGTGTGTATCTCAGCTTGAGGGATTTCATTGATTATTTTAGATGTTTGGCTGTTGTTGTAGCTATAATTTTGATGATTACAAAACACTCAAGTTAAGTTTTTAATTGGTTTATTTGAATGTGTAATTTATGGATGAAAGATTGTTAAAATTACATCTCTATTTATTTTTGGTATTAACTTTCCAGTATTTGGTAACCATTTTGAGTCCCGACTAATCTGTAATCGAGTCGCGTCGGACCCCATTAGAGGGGAAGCTCTCCTAACGCCTGTTTCTCCATTCACAAGACTCAAACTCGAGATCTTATTTAAGGGGAACCGAGCTCCTTCCACTCGGTCCAACAGGTCGTTGGTACATCTCTATTTATTATTATATCTCTGTTTTACCTTAATTTTTTTTGTCTCTTCCATTATTTATATTAAAAATATTTTTAGCCAAAATATAAGTGGTGCAACTTGTATTACTTCTGTAGATCTTTTAATTTATATTAAAATATTTTCAATTCATATTAAAAATTGAAAGCAGATTTAACCGATACTCTGTAGACCTTTAAATTGCAGTTTTTAAGAAGTTTTCCTTGCCAAATTTAATTAAATGGACTAGTGTCACTGATTGAGATATACTTGTTTATTAGAGGAGGTTATGTAATAAAAAACACTGAGCCAGGTTATGTGGGGCCAGCAGCTTGCATTAGTATTGTAATTGAAATATCAGTCATGAGTAAGCAATTAGTAACTCATAATTTCTTTTTCCAGGGTTTTAGAAAGAGTAGATGCAGATCGTTGGGAATTTGCAAATGAATGATTTATCAGAGGTCAAAAGGATTTATTGAAGAATATCTCCAGAAGAAAACATCCTCAGGGCTCTGACCAGCATAAAGCATCGCAGCCTCAGGACAACTCTGTTGAAGCATGTGAGAACATTGAAAATGTCGGGCTGTGGAAGGAAGTTGAGAATTTGAAGACTGATAAGAATGCTCTCATGCAGGAGTTAGTCAAACTTAGGCAGAACCAGGAGAGTGCTGATAATAAGTTGCTTCGCCTGAAGGATCGTCTTCAAGGAATGGAAAAGAATCAGCAACAGATGCTCTCATTCTTAATTATGGCAATGCAAAGCCCAGGCTTTTTGGTTCAGCTGCTTAAGCCTAAGGAAAATAACCGGTATATGACTGAAGCAGGCAATATGCTAGGTAGCACTGCAGAGGATAGTGAACCAGTAGCTTCTGATGGTATGATAGTAAGATACCAACCACCTGTGGAGGAAGCACCAAAGCCAGTACTCAAACCAGTGATAGACTCGAAGATTCCTCCTGAATTTGATGCATCTTCTGGAGGGATGAAAGATTTTTGGATGAATATTGATTTTGTGAAAGCTCTTGTGGATGATAGTCACATACCTTTTGCCCCACCAGATTTACATGACGATGGTGCTTGGGAAAAGCTTCTTCTAGCTAACCCTTTTCTAGAGAATGGAGAAGATGGAAAGAAAGATAAAGAATGCCCTACAGACTCGGGTATGGAAGTTGAAGTAACAGGGTCCGGAACGCATTTGGACAAATCACATAATTTTGAACTTCTACTGCAAAATATGGGGAATTCTCATTACTTAGAGATTGAACCGATTGTAAATGGATCACAGTTGGAGACATCCGAGAACTTGGAACTTCTAACAGAGCAAATGGGGCATTTGACTTCTGAAAGTGACCATAGGGATGAAATCCCTAGTAAGTAGTGTAAATAATATGGTAGTCTCTGAAACTTATTTTAAATATGTATAAGAAACTAAGAAAGTGATATATCTCCATTTCATACATTCATATTTCTCAATCTATAGAGAGGAAAAGGTTGGGATATTAATTATTTTTAAGAGTCAGAGACTTTATATGTATTTTTTTGAAAATATATTTTTTATTTTTTATTAAAATATTTAAGTTCTAACAATTTCTCACTATTTTAATAAAATATGAACCTTTCTTTTGAGTAAATATGGATTATTATGCATAATAAAGATAGTTACATCTTGAACTTTTACTTAGTGAGTCAATAATTCTTAATTCAAAGTCAATAATTCTTAATTCAAAGTCAATAATGAATTAAATCTTGAACTATGACCTTATTAGAAGATATAAGAATTATATCACACACATAATGATTCAAATGTTAAGTTTTTCATACAGTTAGCACCTTGTGACCTTGTGCATGATCTTAATTTTCATAAATGATCTAGAAAATTGTTCATTAATTTTCATAGAAGCGGCCTTAGCTCAACACTACTCACATAGGTAAAATTTGTCAAGGGTGCTCTCATAACTAAGTCACCTCACTCATTGACCTACAAATTTCATTAAAGTGTATAACTCAATCCTCAATTCATTATAGAATAGATGCATCCTCACCTTAGGAATGAGATCGAAAATTTTTTCTATTAAATATTGATATATCTTTCAACAACGATTTCTTTATAATTTGTTTTTTCCATTCAAAACTCAATTCTCAGAATTCAAGTTGAGTATCCTCATGGTAAGTTCTACATTATCGGATTTGAATCCCATTCTTTTCGATGAGCATTAAACCTTGGATTATGATTATAGTTTTTCCTCCAACTTTTGTTTTTACCAAAAGCCTAATTGGCAGAATAGTGGATAACAAAGAGATTTAATTTATTCTTTTTCTCACTTTTTCTTTTTACATCAACTCATGTTTACTAACTCATAAAATTTGCATTCATATTTTTACTCACTTTTTCAATGGTATCGTGATGCACTATCAATGGAGGTGTTCCCTAGTTCAAATTCCTCTTATCAGAACCCACAAAGAGTGACTACTGTATAAATAAGTTGTCCACGTATCATTAAGCTTGTTGTCTTCTTTATTAGTACAAGCCTGATGGTGCTCCGTGTCCATGATAGAAGTTGCTTGACTGTCATTTTGCCATATTGTGAGCAGATGAAAGGGCAACCAGTAAAAGGCGTTGATAAGTTGCATGAAACACCATGGGATAAGCTCAAATGAAACCAAGTTCTGCCACATGGAGGAAGTAGTTAGTGGATGGACTGTGGTCAGTCTTGAAATAGAATTTGGATAGCTTTTGGGCTACATATATGGATAAGAGTTGGCCTTATAAGTGTGTGGGTTTCTTGTGATTATCCATTTGATGGGTTTAAATTATCAATTTGAATTCCATTGCCTATTTTCCCATATATATATATATATCAATTAGAAGTCCA